TTGCTACCGTTCCTTTTGCAGCGCCCTATGCTGGTTTTTCAGCAAAGAAATGCCAGACCACATACAACACGTGTTGCTATGAACTGTCAGCAAGCTTGTCAAACTCTTCCTTGGCCTGACAGATCACCAGATCTCTCTCCCATCGAGCATGTCTGGGATATGATGGGAAGGCGATTGCATCTGGCACGGAATGTTGATGACCTCGTTCGACAATTGGATCGAATTTGGCGGGAAATACCGCAAAAGACCATCCGGGAGCTTTATCGGTCTATGCCACGCCGTGTGGCAGCTTGTATCCAGGCATGAGGTGGGTCAACACCTTATTGAACTTGTTACTGTAACTCTGCAATAAATTATTCAATTGTTCTGAAAATTTAATAATTTACTATTATTACTTAATATGATTTCATTCCAATAAATATTTTATTACTTTAAAGTGCGGTTCAACGGGCCAATTGAATCGGCTGTGAAATTCATATATACTTTTGAGGTGTTTTTTTTTTGTGTTTCATATATTGCCTATATAATAATCAAACATAGAATACAAAAATATGAAAGGTTCAAAAGTAAAAAGAAAAAATTTGATGAAATGTTTTTAAAATAACGCTATTTTATTAAAAATGTGCTGAAAAAAGAGGAAATAATCATTTAGTGAAAAAAACAATGAAGTACAAATCTGAAGTACGAACTTGAAGAAATTAATTATAATATAAAGGTGGTCTGTAATTGTGCAATCGGTCAGTAATTAATATATATCAGTACAATTCGAATGATGGAAACAACGCATTCTATAGTTTATTTTAAAAGAATCTAATTTTAACTGGGTTCTCACTTGCTGTATCAAAATACAGTGTCTAAAGTACAATAACAAGATGAGGAGGAATAACTTTTTAACGAACTAATATTTATTTCCAATAATTTGAGCTTGTTGGTGTTGTAGTTCATTTACGTCGCACTAGAGCTGCAGAATGGGCTATTGGTGACGGTCTGGGAAACATCCCTGAGGATGATCCGAAGACATGCCATCACAGTTTTGATCCTCTGCAGAGGGGGTGGCACCCCTGCTTTGGTAGCCCGACCACCTGCTCGCAAAGTCTAGCACTTCACAGTAGAACAATTTAACGAGGACCAATACCGCCAACCCTCGGTCCCTAAGCAGAGTGATCCAAGTGGTCACCCACCCGCACACTGACCGCAGCCAGTGATGCCTGACTTCGATGATCTGCTGGGAACCGTGTCTTGACGATCTGTCCACTGCGGGATGTAAGTTGAGCTTGGACAGCTGCCTATTACAATAGTTTTAACCCTGCAGTCAGTCAGGCAGGCAAATAACAATTATTTTACATTAGTCTACATTTATAAACAATGTATGAGACCTTCATAAATGATTGGATTTTTTTTAAACGCTTCTAAAGCCTGTGAAATTCAGGTCTATTATAGCTCAGCATTTAAATATACTTTGCGTTCAATTTACTTACAAAAGCAAAGTGCTATGTTCTGTTATACTACTTTGATTATTTATATAAAGCTCACTTGTCGTTGCTTAAACCACTGTAATACAGAAGAGATGTAATTGTGTAACCATAAAGTTAAATTATTATTAATAGACTGTCTTTTCAATATATTACATGCAACAAAAAAATAACATCAAATCCTTATTAATAGCGAAAACCTTTTATTAATTTATGAACTTGGAACTGTTCCGTTCTGACACATGAAATATATGATAGTTTGATGTTTTTACTGATAATCAATAATATTTTTTTAAAATTTCAAACTGAGTAAATGTTATTGCATTAGATTAATAAATCTTGTTTGTCTTTGTATTCTCTATAATGAGTTTCGTGAAAAAGATAAGAAGAAAAACTATTAAAATAAATATTTTTAAAAAATATTAAAAAATTTCAAAAATTGAAAAAAAAAAATTAAGAAGTCGGAAAACAAAATAAGAAAAAGATTATCAGCTCACACGATTAAATCTCCTAAATAGAGTGCTTTCTAATATTGTAATTATATAGCCAAAGCAAGCTATATTAATACAATAGTGCAATGAGCACCCAAAAAAATTAAAACGAATATAGAACATATTAAGTAAAAAAATACAAAATAAAACATATCAAGGAAAAAAAATAGAAAATTAAATGCAAGAAAAATACTCAAAATAAAACTCAAAATGCTCAAAATGTAATATCTATAAAGCGAGTAACGAATTCAAATGTACTTACACTTACCGGCATCTTTCAAAAATGCTTTAAAATATTTTCGTAACAAGTTTGCCAGATAACAAAATATGAAAATAGAAGTGTAAATAAAAGAGAGAGGGCTCATTTTATAGCGCGTTCTTACTAAAGTACAGAAGCGTGTTTGATTTGTTAGTTACCTTGGATTGGCTCGAAACTCGATGTGGGCAAGATAATAATAATATACTGGCTAATTCAAAGTTTATAATTAATAAGGTTGGAGTTCTGGTGGCACAGAGATTAAAGCGTTCGCCTCTCAATCAGGAGACCCAAGTTTGAATCACAGCAATGGTTGGTCTATACGAATTCCGTGCCCGGCTCGCACCAACCACAGTGATGACGTTAGTGGTAGACGGATCGTCAGTGTCTCCTTGCAGTCAGGCTAACCTTGGGAGGTTTTCATGGTTTTTATCTCTCTGTAACGTAAATGCGGTTAATTCTAACAAAAAAAAATCCTTCGCGAAGGCAGATTTCTCTCAATACTTGATCGAGGAGTTCCCTTGCCTTCTGGATTGGGTTCAAAATTATAAGGCATTACAAGGCGAGACGATCATTAGTAGAGAAATATTTTGAATTTGTTGATAAACATCAGAAGCATTTTATTGCTGGTAATTTAAATATTACAGAAAACTTAGAACTAGGAAATTTAATGATAAAAGGCACAAAATTTAGACCCGTTTACCATGTATCAATTAATAAAATTCTAAAATACTTTCTTACAATAATAATCTCAATAATTTTTGTTTAAAGATATCAAATAGATTCTCTTTACCTTTGGGCATGTTAACAGAATCGGGATGATTATTATTACTCTAAAAACTTTGTTTTTAACAATAAAGAAAATTTAAGTAACAGTAATATTTAAAAAAAAATAATTTTAAATTTATCATTTAATTAAGCAAACTACAAAAAAAAAAAATTGTATTTACGTTCATAAATGAAGCTAACAATATTTATGCTATCTTCTATCAAAAATTCTATGTTGAACTTCTAAGGAAGGAATTTAAAAATGCTAAAAATTTCAAGCTTAGTAATTTAAATAATAATATTGGTGTTAAAATTTTTTAGCTTTATATGAAATGTTTAAAATTAAAATTAAAAATACACAATTTCCATACTTGTCCAAAATTTCATAAAATTCCTATCAAATCTGAAACACTCACGTGGGACTTTAATACTTACCTAACTAAACATGGCACCATATCCTTAAATACTTAAAAAAAATTATTAGCAATATTATTGAAGAAAGTTTTTCTTGGATTATCACTATTGTTCAACTTATTTTAGACATTATAAAACAAAATAAAATTAATTGTATAGCAACTTTTGATTTGAAAGATCTCTTCCTTCGAAATTTCCTTCCTAATTTCGTTTTTAATAAAACTCCAAAATACAAGAAATAAGTGATTTTGGAATTGAATTTCTTAAAGAAGAATGAAATTTGTATGAAATTTTTATCTCTTTTTTTAAAAAGAAAATTTTTTTTCTTGTCTTAGCACACTTTGATTTTTATCCCAAAAAGACATGTTTCATTCAAGAAAATTTGACACCCAATTGAAAATCTTGGGAGATATTTATTTATTGTTACTTGAGTTCTTCTGTTAAGCGTTACATTTTAGAAAAATTGAGTTTAATGCAATGACGTTATTATTTAGCTAATTGAGACAAATTCATAAATTAAAAAACTTCCCCTTTAAATGTTTATGATTTAAAGGAGTTAACTTATTCTGAGAGAAGCTAAGTTTTTAATTACTTTACTTCTTGATGTGGCGCGTTTATTTACCTGTAAAATAAGTTAAGTTAGTTTAATTCTTTCATGTAATTAATTTATAATTTACGTATCGTTTAAATATTTACTACCCCAAGTGGAAGAAAAATATTCTAAGATATTTTCTAAGTTATAGACTGCAAGGAATGCAATTGATAGACCAAATATAGTAAATAATCATCACTACCTCATATATTAATTTAAAAGTTGAAATTTAAAAGTATTTAATCAAGATTTGAAAGTTGTGACGGGTATTTTAATTTTTGAAAAAAAATCTTTAAACAAAATATGTACACATTTTTAAAAATTTAAATAAATTTTGTTGTAATGCTAGCGGATATTATACTATGGTAAAAAAACTTATTATTTGCAATAAAAAGTATTCTTAAATATTTTCCAATTGTAAAGAATACTTAAATCAAAATATTTAATCTACATTTTATGATTAGATTTTTTAGAAAATCACATTTTATTATTCTTAAAATATTTGGCTTAACTCAAGAAAGCAGTTTATTAAAAAATTTCGTTTATCATTAAAATATTATTCGTTATAAATTTTAGTTTAATAAAAACAAACATAATAAAGTTTAAGTGTCTTAAGTCCTCGAATACATACCTTTTTCATTTAAATTCTTTTGAGTGTTGTCCTTTCAACCCCCTCCCCCCACACACACTGATTGTCACTGACTCAAATTTCAGAAAATTAAACTATTACCGGTTAAAACATTTTAGTTTCGTATTGAAAAATAAACGTAATAGATTTTAAGTTTTAAATCCTTCGTCGTTCGTTAATGCCCGTCGTTCGTTAACACCATTATTTAAAATTTCTGGAAAAAAAGAGGTTTTGCGGGATCATCTCCTGGTCCTCTCTCTCATCCATAGTGTGTAAAGCGAAAAAGGTGTGCTCTTAAAAACAGGAAGTGACGTAGGCTGAAGGAAGTAAAGCCGATTCCGTTTGCTGTGTTTTCCAAACACCTTTTCATCCATTTAGTCAGAGCTGAGCAAGTGATGGATGATGATAAACGGGAATGAAAGAGAGGAGAAAATTACTCAGTGGTGTTTGTTTTGCACTGAATATATAATTGTGAAATGTGAACTTTTCAACAAAACAATGGTGCTTCATTTTACATGTTAAATCGTTGGATTTTTTTTTCTTTCTTATTAGAAAAAATGACTTTAAAGACTAAAAAAATTATTCATATTCTTATAATATTTTCTTGCATAAGAGAAGGTAAGTTTTTTTTATCCTATTTATTTTTTATATTGAAACTGGAGGATTAAATGTTGTGAAATATAGCAAAGCATGCAATATTAAAATAAATTATAAGAGCACTTTTAAAATTGCATAAGAAGTTGCACATAAGAAAATGAGTTAGTTTAAAGTCTAAAAAAATTATTCATATTTTTATATTTTCTTGCATAAGAGAAAGTAAGTGTTTTTATCCAATTTAGTTTCTATATTGAAACTGTCTGATTTAATGTTGTGAAATATAGCAAAGCTTATAATATTGAAATAAATTATAAAAACGCTTATAAAATTGCATAAGAAGTTGCACATAAAAAAACTAGCTTAAGATGTAATTATTTATAACATATTTTTTTCCTGATACCATATACTTATTACGAAATAATAATAGTTTCGTTAAATAATAATTATTGGATAAACATTAGATTAAATCGGAAGTCAGAAATCTTCAGAGAAAGGCATTGGCCCACATTGGGCTGTTTGGCCAACTATGGTGATGATGAGATAAACAAATTCTTTTCGACATTAATTTGCGGAAAGGTGCTTTTTAATTCAACTATCTTTTCAGATACTCTTCGATACAACTATAACAAAATGAAGAATTTGAAAATGAATGTGAATGTAAACAAATTACGAAACTCGGTGCTTGATTTTTTAATTATATTTTTAATACAGAGACATTCCAAGTACAGGAGAAAGAAGCTTAGCAAATTTTAAATATCATGAGTTGTCACTAGCAACAGAATTATGTCAAATGATACTGAATGCAGTTCATCTTTATTTGGATGGGATAAACTACTAAATACGTGCCTTGCTGAAACTAATAACGTAAAGCCACCGAGAAGGGCTAAAAATAATAAAAAGAAGAAACATTAGAATTATTTATTATTTGCGTTGGTCTTACAGTTTCGTGCAAGATTTTGTAATGTTATTCAGTTGTTAATGCTTATTTTTTCACCCCGTGCGAAGAACGCGTATTTTCAGCTTGCTATTAAATAAAATATTCCGTAGAAATTTTCTCAAAGATTTGCAACCAGAGAGAATATTCATTAAAATATTTAAAAAGGCCTGCATAATTGTTTTCTTCTGAAAAATATTTTTATATGTGCGCATAAGAAATCTTTACTATCATTTCTAACGATTTAATTGTTAAAACTATTAGACCAATAGTTTCGACAAAAATCTTACAATTTCAAGAAATATTTTAGTTTTATAACAAAACCAAAATGCAAAAATCATGTAGCAATTGAATTCTTTAAGTTAAATACAAAAATAAGGAACTCCATAGTTTATTATTATTCTCTTAAAATATCTTATTAACAAAAACATTAATTACGCATAGTAATAAATTTCAAATGCAAATATTCCGTTCTATTTTTAAGTAAAGTCAAATATTTAATTAAGAATTCCAGTTTCTGTATTTTCGTAGATTAAATTAGATTTATTTAAAACTAATTGAAAAAATGCATGTCAAAAATTTTATTTTTAATTTCCTAATCTTCCAGGGGGTGCAAGATTTGTTTTTAATGCTACACTTCGGTGTTTTTACGATCAGTCCAATGCGGGACTACTTATTTTATTTAATAAGAACGGGAATCGAACCCATGATTGCAGGAGAGCGATCGAAATTAAGGGAAAAGAGTAGTCGAAAATTTGAGGTCCCTTGAGGAATTTAATAACATTGCTATGCTTCGCCACACGTCTGAAACTACATAAGAAAACTATTATAATTAACTATAACTATAAACAAAACTGTAAAGCGAATTTTGTACACAATTGTAAAATGTTAATTTCTTTTCTTTTCTTTTGTTCTTGTTTTTTTAAACTGATTTTTAATGGCATTCATACTTTCATATTTTAATTTCTCAGAAACGGTACTACCGATTCCGTTTGAATGTTACATTTTATAATTTTAAAATTAAATTTACATACTTTAAAAGAATGTAAAATTTTTCAAACCTTACAAATGTAATAATTACGAAGTAATTTTTTTTGAAAAATAAAATAATTAAAAATAAATATAAAATATTCTTTACACGTAATTATTTTTGAACAAATGAGTTTTATAATTGTTTGCATTCGCTTGCTTAGTTCAGCGAAGAAAATTATAAAAACCTGCACAATTTCCTTAGAGAATAACGCAATTTTTTTTTCTTCTTATCTGAGTTAAGATAATGAAGAGGAAATGACAAATAACTGATACAAATGAAATTGCCTCACTTTATATTTACATTACTAAATGACGTTGCCCGCCAAATATATTCAAGTGTGTTTTTTATCTCTCATCCTAAATAAATTTTTAAGTTTTGAGATTAAAAAAAAAATTCTCCCCCTTGTCTAGAGCAGCGGTACCACTGTTTATATATGTAGAGAAAACATGGAAAAAATCACAGAGTAATGAAAAAATGATGAAAATTAATTTCAAAAAAGTTAAGAAAAATTCTGAAAAAAAAAGGTATAATCTCTTTATCAGCTCGCACGATTATATCCGCAAAAAGCAGTGCTTTCTAATCTTATATAAAAATAGTCAAAGCAAAATATATTAATACAATAGTGTGAGGAGCACTCAAATTTTTTTTGAAACAAAATAGAATGGATCACAGTAAGTAATAAATATCACGTATTGTATTGATATATTTTGATTTAGCTATATTGATACAATATTAGAAAGCACTCTTTTTTGCGGATAAAATCGTGGGAGCTGATGAATAGATTATATCTTTTTTTTTCTATTTTTTATTAATTTTTTTTAAATAATTTTCTTCTTCTGTTATACCTTTTTGTCCTTTTTATATTTATTATTTTTGTTGTAAATAAATACAAAAAGGATATATATACAGTCAAACCTCGATATCTCGAACTTGAAGGGAGAGGAGAAAAAATTCGAGTTACCAAAAATTCGAATTATCGAAAATCGCATGTTATCGATGGTAGAATAAAGAAAAATGCTCTTTACATACCTTATTTACTACTCCATATGCATTCTAAAAACACTTTTTACACTTTCATTTAAAAAAAGATTCAATTGAGAGATGTGTAAGAAAGTTTGTCTGTAACACTTTCTAAGTGGACTATAGCTTTAAAGGTCTCCTCTGACATATTTGGCTGCCTCTCAAATAAATCTCCTTACAGTGTCCACTGCAGAAAGTGCTTGTTTGTTAGTAACATTGGGCGGTAAATTTTCGATATCCTCATCCTCTTCTTCTGATAGTTCACAAGAAGCTTTCGTTTGAGCGATGATATCATTGTCATGCCACTCACCACACACTGTTACTGCATCATCTACGTTTACAAAGTTATGAAATTCCAAATCATCAAGTTTCATGAGTCCGGTCAATCTGTCCCAATCATTTTCGGGGTAGTTTTCAACAGAATTAACGATATTGATTGTTTGACTACTTTCGTGATCTTTAATGAATCCAGCCTTCTTGAAGCCATTCATTATCGTAGAGAGAGACACATCATTCCTTTATGTCCATTTTTTTTAAAAAGTTAATCATTATGAGAATTGGTTTTCTATTATTAAAAAAATTTTTTTTTTTTTTTTATTTTNTTTTTTTTTTTTTTTTTTTTTTTTTTTTTTTTTTTTTTTGAATATTTTTTTTTTCAGAAAAAAAATCTACACTATTTATGGCGAAAAAAAATTCAAGTTATCGAGGGATTAGAAAAAAAAATTCGTGAAATTAAGCTTTTATTAACATTGAGTGTATAGGAAATTTTTTTTACTTCGAGATATCGAAAAATTCGTGAAATCGAGGTTCGAGTTAGCGAGGTTCGACTGTATATATATATATATATATATGCTTCATTACGTGCCGTTCTATTTACTCACGCACCTCTCGAGTCAAAACTTGAGTATCGTGTCCATGGTTTTTGACAAAAATATGGAAACACTTCAATTCATTACAAACTCCATTGTTAGCAGTGTTTCTTTTATCTGCAAATGTTTTGGAAGATTTTACAAAAAAAAAGGATGAAAAAAAGAACTGTTGACACAATTTGAAAGGTGCGGAATTCGTATGAAGCAGTCATCGCTGTAATTCGAATCCGGGTTACCTGATTGGGAGGGCGAGCACCCTATTCCCTGAGTCACCACCGCTCTTGTCAAAAGTTGGCAAAATAGCATTTACCGAAGATCAAAAATCGGAGCAACAGCCACTGCCAATTTCTTATATTATGCATCAAAAGCGCCATTGAGCATTTTTTTTATTCTTTTACGTTTGCATATGTTGTACTGAAAATTTTAATAGCAAAATTTAATTATATTTGAATTATTTCGTTTAGTTTTAGTTGGATTATATTTAAATCTATTTAAATTTTAATATATTGACGTGCCATTGCCCGGTATACCCTGATCTGCACTGGTGTTTTTTTATAGTTAAATGCCACTGCCCAATATACTAATAATATTGCATTAAGTTAACTACCACTGCGAGGGATATAAATAACATTGAATCAGGTTCAGTGTCGCTGCTCAGTATAAATTTACTCGGTACAGTGATTTATTTTCTTCAAAGTTTTGTATGGATTGGTTGAATAATTATCATGCCAAACCCCAGATGTAGGTTTAAAAATATTGCAGATACTGAGACGAACAGATGCTTAGATTAGTTCCTATAAAGTGGCGCTGTTGTCAAAAGTCGGCAAAATAGCAGTAGCATACCTGCCAACTCTTCCGGATTTTCCGGAAGATTTTATTTTCATATTTAAAGTGGTAGCAAAGTATGCATCANTTTTTGAATTATAATGATAATTACAAATGAGTTTGACCACCACTACATATAAATAATTACAATAAATATATGAAATCATAATAATCCTTACCCAAGCGAATTTCAACGGGATCAAAATATAAACATATTTTTGAGTCAGATTGTTTTTCGTTTATTGCTTTACAATATTCTCTCTTACATACATTCTCGGAAAGAGTGAAAGTTGGCAGGTATGCAGTAGATACATTTCATCGCAACAATAGCCACTGCCAA